CATATATTGACGTGTCGCTTGGCAAATACGGGATTAAGCTCAGCGCGTCCCGTCAATAGAGAAAGTGCAAGGGTGCTTTAACACGGCCTGGAACAAGACTACAAGACATAATTTTGAACAATTTCAATTTAGGGGTCGACCATTTGACTTTTGAGGGGGTTACGGGTGATTTCAGAAAAAAATATCCCACAGACAGATTTCGAAGGAAAAAAGATCTCGCAAGGAACTACCTTGCGAAAAAAAAATTCCTACTGACTGAAAAAATATTTCAAAGCGGACGGTGCTGGAAAAAAATCTCACAGCACTATTGTATGTCAGGAAAAATATTTCTTTCATCAGATTCTTTTGGGGAAAAATTTCTCACCCAAACCAAATCACCCATACCCCTACGCACCCCCTTCCCCCATTCCCTCTCAAAAGTCAAATGTTCGACCCGGCTTAGGGGCGGACGGTAATCAAACGCTCAAATGCGTATCGCAGATGCCTTTTCAGTGGTGAAAAATTGGAAGCGAAAAATTATCAACTCTGGTACGTGCTGATACACTAAATAACTCGTCGTTAAGGCTCTAAAAGTCAGCTATTTTTCGCTTATTATTGACATATCGTTTGCTTTTATATAATTGATAACCAAATTTCATTGCTGCAATAATATCAAACTCTCCGAGTCAATTTATCATGAAACTGTTTGATTTTGGAACGTTAATTGAACTTTGTCTTCCTCAAATGCTGTTAAGATACCTCAAATTGACGAGGTTGGACTAGTAAACAATCGGCCTGGCAGAAAAATATTTCTTAGCGTTTGTGAAATCAGTAATGATCGAGTATTGAGAAATAAATTGTTAAATCGCTGAGATTATAAGTTGAGCAAGTTTTGCTGAGGGTAAAGAAGAAATGGCATGAATGCCTCGATGAAGCGAATTACTGACTGAATAATGAGACAGTGTACTGAATAGGAGAGACACTAAAATATATGACGCTTTGAATGAATTGGAGCACGAATCGGATGAGTTGGATAAAGGGAATGCGTAAAGCGAAAACTGAATGGGGTGAACCAACATTAGTGCTGTGGGCTATTACACACATATCCCCAGTACACTTGAGGAGAGATGTTTATGGTCTGATGGTGTTATGATTCCGCCCAACCATCCGCATGGTGGCTCAAATTTATAGGCAAAAAGACTATGGTGGTGTTTTCAGCCAATGAGAAATGGGCAGACGTCATGGACTATCCAATCATGAAACACTTGTAGCTATTTCAAGATTCATTGGGAAGAAATCAACGCCTGTTTGTATAAAGCAAGATAATTATATTAATTGAGCGCTGGGTTTGAGAAATTTTTAATTGCGAATAAAAGCGTTCGTTAAAAAGAGAAAAAAAACACATGTAGGAAACCAAGTAATTTTAGTTTATAACCGATTAAACCAAAGTTCAGCGGGGAGAGAAACATCTTAAAACTGTGTAACTTACAGCCGGCAGCCGGCAGCCGGTTTAGTCAGCGATAGCGCTAATAACTTCAAACTTCATATCGTTAGGACGTTTATTTAAGAATGTCCAAAACTACCACAAACGAACTTCTTAAAGAAAAAGAACACTAAGCGCTCTTTTTGATAGAAAAGAAAACAACTTCACCGCATTACCGCATAAGGTCAGGGTTTGTTTGCAGGTAAAGCCTAATTTTTTTTTCTTCGGGAGGGGGCGGGGGGGGGGGGGAGGTTGCTTTTTTTAACTTCTTCGCCCTGTTCGAAGTTAAGACAGCGTAGATCCAGTATAATTCAATCTGTCAGCTGATCTGTCTTATCCGCTTGATCCAATTTGTGGTGTTTGTTGTGTTCTCGTCACAACGTACAATAACAGCAATTTCATTTCACCTTAGGAATAGCACGGATACTTCATCGATTGACTCCAATATTAGATATGAAAGCAAGCGTTGGCGGTCAACTTTTAAGACTGATAGTGATAAATTCTGTCTGTTTATCTATGCTAATAGAAGCCTTGAAGTTTTTCAATAGGATAGACAAAGACACAATTGAGCTTTAGTGTAGTTTTTGTTCAAGCAAACAATGAAGGCGCCCCCTATATTAATCATGTCGACGCAAGAGCGCTCAAGTTACTTCCTAACGTAACAAATCAATAAGAAATAATCAAACTGAAAAGGGAGGATAGCGCTTTGCAGACATCTAACGTTGTCATCCAACGCACCAGTCACGGAAAGGACAATCAAACCTAAAAACAGCATTCATTAATGAAACTAAAGTTTACACTGAAATCCTAAGTATAATGCTGCGAACAGATGCTGGGCAGTAAAACACTGACCTGAGAAAAGATGAACTGACACGATACGCATTTTGCTAATGAACACTTTTATTGGGATTAAAGACTGCAAGAGAGAAAAAAAAGCACAAAGCCTGAACGAAACTCAAAAATTATGATTATAATAATGATGTACTGTACTTTTTTTTTCTTTCCTTAAGCTCAGGAATAAGGAAACTTTTACTCTTGGCAGTCCTGTGTAAATATTCGAATCAAATACCTAAAGTGATCCGGTTTTGTCTCGCCGAAGATAAATTGGGTTGTTTTGCCCCTGCTGGCGGTAACGACCGCCCATTAGGAGGGTCTTATGAGAACAATGCTTCCAAGAGCCATTATGGTCCTTGATGCTTCTTAATTCTAAATTTAGCGCAAAAACGGAAAAAAAAACTTTCTCGATCTTATTGGATATTAGTCTGTGACATACCCTCTACGAAAATTCCATCTAATTCGGCTCAAAAACTCTGTCTGTGAAAACTAAATCTATAATGGAAGCATCATAAAATAATTCAATTTGGTCAAGGCTATGGTTTTTATAGGAGACGATTTTGTGAGTGTTTTTTTTTTTCCGCTGATCAATTCGATTCTAACTTTGCTGGTGACTCATTCATATCAGTACTCGATGTCGTGACCGCCTTCGAGATACGAAATTACGAAATTCTTCTTTAGAAGACTCACGTTTCTCATTACGGAGTTTACAAACGTCGACACCAACGGCAATGATAACGTCAAAAAAGCTGCAATAGTTTTACTAAGCGAAACCACAACTTTGCACGTGCATCACGCTTTTTTGCACATCACTGTATTTTCTTTGCCGTCACTGCAGGACTACAACGTGAAAATGCCTAATTTCACGTTTAATGGAGGACGAAGTAAGCGGCGACATAGTTTTCTTTCTCTTTTCAAACGTGATTGCGGTCCCAAATAAATCAACTCCAGGGAAATTCCCCTGTATTTGACATTTTAAGCGAATTGGAATAAATGCGACTAAGGTTGAAACAACGCGAATTCATTTTTAAAATGACGTTTTCACTGTCGTCGCCGTCGTCGATGCTAATTAAAGCCCTAATAACGGGGGAAGGGGGGGGGGGGGGGGGATACGGGTTTGCTGGCTATTTTAAAACCCTTGACAGATCGGGAACCAAAAACTTGGCGAACCATTGTTCTATATCATACTCTAATTAACAGCTATGAAGCTAAAATGCGCATTTTCATCATTCCCTGCAAGGAGAGAATTTGTTTCTTCGCTTACTTGATTAATCTTCAGAGGTGAGTGTAGGCTTAGAACTAGGAAGTGACCGGATCAAGCGACAACGTCAGGGCCACTTCGGGCAATAAGATCAACCGGCGCCACGAAAATTTGAGCGGACATATACGATGTTATTAAAAGACGGAAATGAAAGATTGTCAGTTGGCAATAAAAAATGGCAAAAGATAAAATTGGAAATGAGACAATACTATCCTGAAATGGAATGTCATGCAGGTTGTTATGAGTGACGTGAGAATATACTCTTAATCCTGACAATGAAACATTGAAATCAAAACACTATTTTTTGTTTACCTTTTTCATTTTAGTCCCCTCTATTTTATATTTCATGTGAATTCAGTCAATTCGTCCGCTCCTCGTTTTGCTGTCACTTCTCTTTCCCGACTTGAATCCACCAGTCATCCCGACCTATTTAGCAACATTTACCGGAAATGTATATCCTTTAATGTTAATTGTACTTGAGGTGAATAACATACGCAGTTTATATAGACTTGCAAAAAGGCTTTAAATAAAAGTGGTCCCAAAATTATACAATAATAATTGTCAATACTAAATAATAATAATAATAATAATAATAATAATAATAATAACGATAATAATAAGCTTAAGAATAATTGAAGCTTTGATAAACAGTAATTGCTTTCAAGAAAAAAAATTCTCAGATTGAGTGTCCATGCGCTACACTGAGCTAAAATAGCACTTAAAATGATAAGCCTTTCAGTTTTGGCAAACTGTGCCTCTAGTCATGAAAAGTGATAATTGAGGTCAAAATTTGGGTCATCCTTTTTTTCCGGTTGTTAACATTTTAAGATGTCTTTGTATGTGTCACGCTGACCGGTCATTGTGATAAAGAAGGAATGGTCTTATCCTTTGAGAAGGAGTTTCTCCAGCTACCGGAGGAAAACGGCTCCGCCCTTGTGGCAATCTTTCGTATGCGGTAAAAATAGATATGGCCCACTAATTACCTTGTTTCTCCTTTCATTGTCAAATGGTTTTTTGGCAAAAAGAGGGCAAACAAACAAAAAGAAGACATCAAGAGGGCAAATTCCCGCAAAGAGTTTAGCGTCAACACGAAATTATCCAACGTATAGCGACAAATTCGTGAACTATAATTATTGATCTTCTGCCAAATGAAGAAATTATCCTTACAAAAAAAAAATAAAGACATTACAGAAAGAAATAAAAAAATATTATTTTGGTCCTAAACCTTGGAAGGAGCTCAAAGGTTTAACTTAAAGGCACGTTTCCAATAGGATGCTTTGTGTTCTTAAGGGATATAAGAAGATAAGCACTCGACAGATTAACTACGATAATGTCGTGAATGATTGTTATGTATAACTTGTGGCATTAAAACTCTTCAAATTCCTTGAATGGTATTAATATACTGCACGTTTTAAGCGATATTAGTTGCAAATAGCTTGTAAAAGTGATGTCGATGATTTGTGATAAATTGCTGGACTAAAGTGTACAATATGGTCGAATTCAAGCGAAGAGTGGGGAAAAATGTTGCTTCCGAAAGATTCGTTCTTCGGTGTAGTTTAGTGGCAACAATTAGATTTGATTCAGGCAACATCCACTTTCTGCATACAGTTTTTTTCTGTTGTTCCATTTTCCTCTTAGCTGCAATGCCAGGTAAGCTGACTCGAGTTTCTCTGTATATATTTTCGCCCAATGACACCAGCTAACCAGAAAATTTTCAGTCCTCTTGAAGTTATAAGGTTTACTACAAAGCAGTTCTTTAAAGTGCATGACTGAAAAGTTCGCCCCCAAGGTTACTCAGACTAAAATTTCACTAGGTCCCTTTTCATCATAAAACTAAGCACTTCGATGAATAACTATGCGGACACTCTGAGGCAAACCCTACTGCCTTGACACTTCCTCGTCCTTCAATTTTTCTATGGCGTTGCGTGTTAAGGAAAACGTAGTTGTAAACGTTCTCTTTTATAAAATACTGCAGTTTTTACGTCAGATAATTCCACAACAAGTTCCAGAATGATATGATTCCTGTTGCCGGATTTTTCACATAGAGGCCTGACTATTATCCTTATAAACCCGTTAAGTAAAAGGACGGTTTATAATCAATTAAGATTAACAGAAAGTCACAAGTTCTTATACAAAAGTAAACACAAGCGGCTAAATAAACAGAGATTTTAGTCTCTGAGAGGACTATGTCGCCCGTGCTCTGACGCCAAGTTTGTAGTTGATTAAATTGATTAGACTGGAGTTGACGCCAAATGTTAGTGAAGTTTGTTGTTGATTCAATTTATTCGCATCCTTGATTTGAGAGGTATTTTTCTCCATGCAGGTACCCCGGTTTGGCCTTCTTCTCAGAAAGACTGGAACATTCTCAGTCTTGTCCTAGATCCGGAACGGCAAACAAAAAACCATGATATCGATCTGAATATGATATGTCAATAAATTGTTATTATCATGGTAATCATCATTACTTAAAACCTCTTAGTGAGAATAGAAAAAAGAGATGAAGTTAAAATGGGACTAACTTCAGATTGACGGGAATTTCGAAGGGAATTTTTGTTTCAACTCGGCAGGTGCAGTAGCCCTGGAATTCCTCCAGGATCCTCCACTAGTCCTGTCATCTCACGTTGGCAGGAGTGTTGACTTCAATTGTTCAACAGATGATCCAAACGCTGCAGTGTCACTTTTGTTTTCTGACAATTTTGGAGCTTCTTGGAGTGAGAAGCCAGTCACACCAAATAAAGTTGCCTTGAAGAAACAAGTGTTCACTTTAATAAATATCGTTTTGCGAGATGGCGGAATCTACGCTTGTAGGGCGACAGACCAGTCGGGGAAGACTATTCAATGGCCCAGTAATCATGGATTCTTTTTCGTACAATCAGGTGTGTTGATTCGCTGAGGGCTAGACCATCTTCATGATACTCGCAATACTCTGAAAGCGCTTAATAAAAGGATTATGTGTCGCGTGGTTTCTCAGGGGGGCAAACACACGATAGAAAGCAGTCAGGTAATACAAGTAATCATGGGTTTGTTTATTCCCTCATAACAAGACATTTCTGGTGTCTAGAATGAATCACCTGGAACACGATTTCTTGTTTCGGCACATTTTGGAGACGGTAGCGTGGCCGAGCGGTTAGAGGGTGGGACTTACAATTCGGAGGCCCCGACTTCACGTCCCGGCCAGACCGTTAGCTGGATTTTTTCACAGTAGTCCATAGTTCAAATCCTCGACCACGCTCAGTGAATAGCCAGCTGGTTTGCCTCCGACCAGTTGGGATTCGTAACCATGTTATGTCATGATTTGAATTATTTGTTTTAGTCATTTGCAAGGCCCCAACAGCATTAAGTGCCATAAATACTGCCGAGGGTAAATAAAGGAATTATTATTATTATTACTACTATTATTATCATTATTATTATTACTAATATCATTATTAGTATTATTATTATTATTATTATTATTATTATTATTATTATATGTACATTTTATCAGTTGTTTGCCCCCGAGAAACCACGTGACATTGCGTTTATCCCATCAATCTTAAGTCTGTGCAGCGCGTATCACGAATAAGGTCTTTTAATCTTAGAGAGATGTTTTTTGCGCTCGTTCCTCACATACCATTTGGAGATACCACTGTTGGCATTGCGAAGTGTTGGCTGCTTTCTTAAGCTTAAGTAAAACATCAAATATTCCCATAGATTTTTTATTTATTCCTATAGATATCATTAGAGAAAGACGGACATAGACATATAAGACATACTTTATCTAAACACGATTAAAAACATCTGTTTAAAACCGCGATAATTTAAAACTTAAACACTGGATTACATTTTTGTCGAGTGGGTGCCTGTTGATGAATATATCATATTCGGATAAGCCACGGAGTCTCCCACTATTTTCAAACATCCGCAACCGAAGTATTTACCGTTTGCCATACCGTAGAACTAGTATCCAGTACATATTATATCGTCTTCCTTCTTACTTTCGTTTACTTTGCTGTTGTTTTAGCTTGTTTCATGTTCGTTTAATTCACGTTAAAATACCTGATTCTTAAACATCTTCTGCAGCTGAGCTACCAAGACATTTTGTTTTGATACCAAACAAATCAATATACGTGCTGCAAGGGCAGAGTGGAGAAGTTACGTGTGAATGTGAAGGTGCTACAGTGTGTAAACTAAAGTGGGAAAAGCAAGAGGATGATGGTGAATCATATGCTGCTGTCCCTGACAGCCAAGTGACCGTCAACAGAAATTTGTCTACAAACAGAGTACAGGCTATTCTGAACATTACAAATGCACAGCCTGAAGACTCTGGTACGTACAAGTGCAACGTATTGGTTGAACCTGATAAATCTGACTTCAAGCTCATCGTCATTAGAGTAAAAGGTAAGTTGAGCCTAATTAAGCCGTTTAGCTTACGTAGCAGGCGTTTGGAAGTATTTTGCAGGAAAGAATGGGGCGCGCTAGGAGACACGTGAGGGGAGAGACGTGTCTCTCTCGCGCGCCTCCGGTCGTTCTTTCTCGCATATCACTTCCAAGCGCCTGCTACGCAGACCAAAGTAGGTTAAATGTAGTCTGATGAACTTTCAGAACTTGCAACATATTTTTAAGCGTTCTGAAAGATTATTGCTTGTAACCATGTACTGTTGTTCTTAATATACTATTGAATAAAAATAAACAACAACTAAATTGACAAATTAAACAACAAACAGACAGTTGAAACAAAAAGCTGATTTTTTACCAACATGCTTATACTATAAGTAGTTCAAAAATGTCTTACTTACTTCATTAAAATGCATACAAAAACTTAATTGATGTTCAATACTTATACCTGAATAAGTACCTAACATGGTTATAAAACGTCTAACTTACTGAATGAAAGTTTATACAAAAACTTTAACTGATGTTTAATGAGTTCTTTAAATACGATGATGATAAAGTTTCAACTCCTGTTTTGCGGGTTGTTGACTTCGTACCTTAATTAATACATGTCTTTGAATAATGTAACGTTCTAACACCGTTTTTTTGTCGATAGCTCCAACAGCACCTAGAATCACTGCACCCCGTAATGGAAAAACTATAGTTCTAGAGGAGGGATCGACAAAGATCCTCAAATGTATAGCAAATGGAGCTCCTAAACCTAACGTTACCTGGTACAGAAAAGAAAAGCAACTACACAGCAAACGAACAGTAAATGATCGAAAAAGTTGCAAGGATACTGCTTATGAGGTTTATGAAGAAAACGAGGAAACTTCAGGATTACATACGTTGCATACGGTTCAAATTCTTAGAATAAGAAGTGTTCTGTATCCAAGAGATCAAGGAGAGTTTAAGTGTGTCGCATCGAATGGAGTTTCAAACGTTCAAGCAGTTTTGCACCTTCAAGTACAAGGTGAGCTTGGGCTAATTGAAGACTGGTTCATTTAAGGGGAGTTTCGACCACTTTTTTCGCTAAAAGCTTTAATATTGGCCTACGGTTTTTCATGGTACGACCTTGGGCCAATATTGCCCAGTAGTACGGCTCCCGCGCTTGGTAAGTAAGTCAATACGCGTGCATTCTCTGCATTCTACGATAGCCATTTTGAATATTCAGTTTCCGACTCTCGTACCAGCCTTTCGTATGTAAGTTTGCTGTTCATCTCTTTGCTCCAGGAGATTCTTAGTTCTGTTTGGCGAAAAGCCATTAGGTAGATTTTTATCAATAATCATTATGTAAAAGCTTGTTTCTTTATTGGTCCCTAGTTACAACAAATTCACACCAAGCGGGAAGCCAAGGAACACCCTTTGTTTGCTTTCTTCTCATCTCTACATCTCCAGCACCTTTCTAACTATCATTGCCGACCCTAGCCTGGGCAGCGGCGGGATATTCTTGTGCCCGGAGTACTTTCTTGCTCTCCTACGCTAATCCCGCCGGCTACGCAGGCTATGCCGACCCCAACAATGCACATTTCGGGGATCGTTCCACACAAAATTCTCATATTAATCACTATCAGGCTATCTTTAGTGGTATAAATCCCTTTATTTGTTGTTTGCTTTGTTGTTTTCGGTACACAGTCGACTTAGTAAAACACCAAAAGTTACGACCACCAAAGCCGATTAATGTACTGCAAGGTCAAGAAGCAAGGGTAAAATGCGACTTACATGGTACTTTAACGGCTACGTTAGAATGGAAAAAGCAGACCGTTTCAGGAGATGTACCTGTTCCAGACAGTTTGGTCTCTGTTATTAAAGACAGGAGCATCAAACGAACCAGAGCCGTCCTCAAGATTAAATACGTTCAAATGGAAGACAGTGGCGTTTATAAGTGCGTCTCAAAGGCTTTCGGCAAAACACATTTCAAGCTCGCCTATATTACAGTGAAAGGTAATTCGTTTTCCTTTAATTGACTAGATTTACATGTGGGAGTTACTAGCGTACGGGTCTATATTCGGAGAGAAGATGATAGTACTTTAGCTTACTGGTGATCTGCTCTTCAACTACATCGAACCACTGCCTGGGGGTGGGGTGGGGGCGCAGAGGAAGGGTAAAAGCCTTTCCTCCTCGACTCCCACTTCTGAAAGAGCTTGCTGTTAGCAGGATAACCTTGAAAAGGGACAACTGGCGCGGTTATAGAGTTCCTGTTTACAGTGATCGACTGAAAATTTTATCTACGAGACTCTGTAACTCTGTGACCTGGTGATTGGACACCAAATTGAGGTTAGCCGCTTACGGGACTGAGTAGAAGGTCTCGCAATACAGATTTGACTGCAATAGAAAAAAATGTAAAAAATGTAAACCTATGAAGCCCGTCAGACTCCTCTGTTTTTGTGGACTTAAAGGTGCACGACACTCGATAGCATTTCTATCATTTTGATCTTACTGACCAATTAAAAAGGTCGCGGTAATTTATTCCGTCACAATTTGTGAGCAAAAAACAAAGATTAAGTTATAGTTTGTGCACCGTCGTGGAGTCTAATTATATTTGATGTTTGCTGCCTTTCACAACCTGTTTTCTCTACTTAGTATGTCTAAACTGAACTACTTGCAGAAAAAAGGCTTTACTCGAATAATCATAGGGTTAGCATGCAGGACGAATTTGTCACATCACTATATAACTTTGCTCCAAAAATCTTGATAAAAGCCTGGCATTAGCCTGGTAAACCATAGTTGAACCAGACTTGGCATAAGAAGTAAGATTGGGAGCCGTGTTAAGCCGGTTTTACCAGGCTTTCGAGGTAAGCGCGGTTAAAGTTTACCATGAAAGTCTGGTAACTCAGGTTTTAACTGAAAAATCTTAACCAGGCTGGTATTACCAGGCTTTCCTAACTTGACGACTATGTAAATGAAGCCTCTCCGAACATTATCCGTTTCTCTTGTAAGGTTCAAGGCTGCCATATCGCAGGTTAAGAAATGTCTGAGCTTCGAGAAAATGCCCCACGCAAGGGAATCCGGACTCTGGAATCCGGGACATTTTGCTTTTTTTTGTGGAAACCAGAATCCAGGGCTTTGGAATGCGAAATACAGCTTAACGAATCGCGAATCCACTAACGATTGGAGTCCGAAATCCAAGTTCCAATAACAAAGAATCCCGAATCTAGTACACGGAATCCGGAATCCCCGGCTCCAGAATCCAGGAATGTCTTGGATTCCCTTTTAAGGGGTGATAGAGAAAGAAATTGATACCAAATTAATGTATTATTACTTTTCAGAGTCACTAGCCTTTCTCAGTAGACCACCACAAGTAATTCGAGGACGCCTTGGCCAGGACGTGGTGATTGACTGTTCTACGAATGACAATGAGGCCACAGTGTCACTTCTACGTAAACCTCATCCATTTGCGCATAGCACAGAGCTTAAACCAAAAGCTAATAAACTCTCTAAGGAGCGACAAGTGTTTACGATTCTTAACATCGATATCGGAGATGCAGGAATATACTCCTGTGCAGCGACGAATAAAGCAAATCAGACCATCCAGTGGCGGCGTTTAACAGGATATTTTGTTTTTCTTAGTCAAGAGACCAATTAACAAATGACACACTTAGAGTAAACAGGTCATTTTTTCTCTCCGAGCAAGTTTCTTGCGAATGTCTATTGCAGCAAAAGCAGTTGTTAAATTATACCTTTTTTAACTAAGCAGGCTAATTGCCAGCAGTATACGTTGGATTAATGAATGTTTTTGAGATAGAAATTTGCGCGGTTAAATTTGAAGTCGTTTCCGAATTGGACGAGGCGCATTTGGAACATTTGTTGATGTAAACGTGTAAAAATAAGTGTGNGGGGTGATAGAGAAAGAAATTGATACCAAATTAATGTATTATTACTTTTCAGAGTCACTAGCCTTTCTCAGTAGACCACCACAAGTAATTCGAGGACGCCTTGGCCAGGACGTGGTGATTGACTGTTCTACGAATGACAATGAGGCCACAGTGTCACTTCTACGTAAACCTCATCCATTTGCGCATAGCACAGAGCTTAAACCAAAAGCTAATAAACTCTCTAAGGAGCGACAAGTGTTTACGATTCTTAACATCGATATCGGAGATGCAGGAATATACTCCTGTGCAGCGACGAATAAAGCAAATCAGACCATCCAGTGGCGGCGTTTAACAGGATATTTTGTTTTTCTTAGTCAAGAGACCAATTAACAAATGACACACTTAGAGTAAACAGGTCATTTTTTCTCTCCGAGCAAGTTTCTTGCGAATGTCTATTGCAGCAAAAGCAGTTGTTAAATTATACCTTTTTTAACTAAGCAGGCTAATTGCCAGCAGTATACGTTGGATTAATGAATGTTTTTGAGATAGAAATTTGCGCGGTTAAATTTGAAGTCGTTTCCGAATTGGACGAGGCGCATTTGGAACATTTGTTGATGTAAACGTGTAAAAATAAGTGTGCTTAAAAATAACAAAGAAAACAAAGAAAGGAAGGCCTACTGTGTAGAGTAACATCAGGTACAGTGCGTACCAGGCTTCATTTCTTTAATTTGGTCAAAATAAGGCCGAGAAAAATTGGTGCACAGATAAAATGGCAATAGAGAGATTTAGAATCACGTTTACATCATAATGGACCACGTGATTATGTTTGCCCTTCACTTGTTGCTAGTCATTATTTCTACACTGGAATAAGTTTTATGATGCTATGTTCATCCATAAGATTTATTTTGGAAAATTTCATTTCTTACTTGAATCTCAGGTTTGCCGTTTGCCGTAATCGTGACTCTAAATTTCTCTTATACAATAATTGAATCGTAAGGTCAAAGCGTTGTTGCAAAATAGCTAACCGGCCCCTGCCACGAAGGTTAATTAATCGGTGCGTCCGTCATTAACATACGTACAAGCAATACAATTTTGATCAGGATAGAAAGAACCCGGTCTTGGAAAACACTGTTTACGTTTGTACGCAGTGTAGTTCTGACAAGTATGTTGTTGAGGCTGCCCGTCCAAAGATAACGAGAGGTGTAGATATGAATGATGACATTGGCACAAAGTAAGAAACATGAGACAATCATAACGCGTAGTTGGTGAAAGATACATATTAGTGGGACTAAGGGCAGGATTGTGTGTAACCTCAGTTCCCTCGCAAACGTTCTTAGGTTCTGCCAGTAACGCGTGACGAACACCTAAGAATGCTGTGTGGGAGGCTAGATTGTATGTTACGTTTTGGGTTGATGAAAATATATCTCTTTTATTACTTTAGGGATGCCATGAGTGTAACAGTCTAATGGTTTTTTCGTTTAGTGCCGTTTTTGCTTTTAGCTTTGTTAGGTCATTTTCAACATGTTTATCATTGAGAAATACCGGCTTTCGTTTCAAAAAGAGTGGAAAAACCCCCAGCTTCCTAGATCGGAAGTCTTAAGATTATAATCTTGTTTGGCAGAAAACACTCATCTAGCTGGAGCCTTAAGGAAAATACTGAGAGCCTGAATATGATTCTTTCTTTCTTTTTTTTTCCAGAAGTGTCTGTCCTTTATTCACAGTTAAAACGTGACGTTAATACAGATGCGTTACACAATGTAAGCCTGAATCAAATTAATGTCATACGTGCTTGGGGCTAAGCCAAAACTTGAATCACGGATGTAAGAAGCGCGAGTTAAAAGGAAGTTACGAAATATAATTACGAAAATGTGGCGCAGGGCTCGCCCCGGTTTGACGTAACCAGCTTTAAAGACGGGAACTGGCTTCTAATTGGCTGTTGTTGACACATCTAGGCTCTATCGTCTCTTTAAATATGTATTTATTTGGAACAAAGATAACATAAATAAAAGCTCCACGGGTGCATGATCGTTGACTATTTTGTTTTAACAATGACGATCAAGAATCGGGAGTATTGCGACGTTTGGCGAGGTCTAGTTTGGAGCGCTTTTTTTCATGCTTTATTTCTACTTATTATTCCAGGTATGTCCAAAGCTGTGTTATTCAGTTTAAACTAATGAATTAATTTGTCACAGGCAGTGTAACCTTTACTCTTGCGAGCCCTACTCCCGTTGTCCGGCATTAAGGCTACATAATTTTGTTTGTTTTTTTTTTTTCATGCTTTATTTCTACTGATTATTCCAGGTATGTCCAAAGCTGCATTGTTCAGTTTAAATTATTGAATTAATTTGCCACGGGCAGTGTAACTTTTACTCTTGCGAGCCCTAGTCCCGTAGTCCGGCATTGAGGCTACATGCTTTTTTTTTTTCGCTGTGTGTGACTTACATAATTATCGATTCTCTCCAGTCCCTTGTTATTTTAATGGAGGAAAGTCAAAGTATGCTGTTGTTGTTGCTGTTATTGTTCTTTTATTTTCTGTAGGTGTAGGAGCTCTAAAGTTCCTCCAGGATCCTCCACAATTCCAGGCATCTCACGTCGGCTGGAGCGTTGAATACAATTGCACAACAGATGACCCATACGCCAAGGTGTCACTTCTACAGTCTAACGATTTTGGGATTTCTTATAATGTGTTACAGGTCTCACCAAACAAACTTCTTCTGAGGAAACAAGTGTTCACCGTAGTAAACCTTGTTCTTTCGGATGGAGGATACTATAAATGCAAGGCCACTGACCAGTCAGGTCAAACTATTGAATGGAACAGTGATTCAATGTTATTTATACAAGCAGGTCTGTAAGAATATTATGAGTAAACTGGCACTCGTGAATAGCTAAAAGTACTTGTATAAAAATGGCGGATTGTTCCTGTCGCTTATCTACGTAATAAATGACCTCGTCATGACATCACTCAGTACTATTTTTCAGAACCTTTAATTTGTTAGCTAACTTCTCGATATCATCAGACACCTTAATTTTATAAGTATTTTTTTTGTTTTTTATGGCCAATTCGAGAGGAATTTGGATTTTGGCAATAAATTGAACCATATGACGTCATAATAACATCAAATTACGCCATTGTGTCAATCAAATTATGCCTAGATGATGGAAATGATGTGTGCATTATTCTGTGTAGTTTTTGTGGCTGCATCATGAGTGGTTTTGAAGGTATTGAGGGGGTGGAGACTTCGAACCTCCCCCTCAGTCGCAGGAACCCCAAAATTGACATTATCTGCGAAGGACCGCAGACGAATATAGTGCCGCAGAACGTAGCATTTAGAGAAGACCTGATCAGCAAAAATATCAGTGCAAAGTGGACACTTGGAACCACTTGGAATAGGGTTAAATAACTTTAGTGGGATTTGATTCGAGTAACCCGTTTACATTTTCAGACTTCTTGTAAAACACTGGTTTATAGTGTGATCCTTATTAAAATTTTTCAGAGAGTACGTACACTACGTCGTATTGAATACAGCATGTAAAATATGGTACATATGTTTTGCAGCTCAGTTACCTAGGCACTTTGTTTTGAAACCAAACAAACCAATCCATGTGCTGCAAGGGCAGAATGGAGAAGTCACATGTGAAGCTGTGGGCTCCTCAGTTTCTACCCTGAAGTGGGAAAAGCAACAGGATAATCAATCATATGCAGCAGTCCCCAACAGCCAAGTTAACATCACTAAAGATTCAAACTATGTGAGAGCAACCCTGAAGATTACAAATGCCCAGTTTGCAGACGCTGGTACATACAAATGCACAGTATCAGTTCCACCAAATAAATCGGATTATAAGCTGACAGCCATAAAGGTCAAAGGTAGGTTTGTTTGTTTGTTTGTTTGTTTTTGTTTTGTATACATTTTAGTAAAAGTTCACCGTCCAGTCAGAAAAAAGGCTTTATATTCACTTATCCTTGCATCATCGACCTAACGTCGATAATTATCAAAATGCTTTGGTGTAGAATTTGTGGTGGCAGATGCCGGGGGTCAGAGGGATGGCAGGACTCAGAACTGACCTGTCAAAGACTGTTTCTCGGTCAAGTCTCTCTTCTGACGGATCACAATGTTAAAAACAACGTAATAACTTGAACGTACTAGCCTAACAAGCAAAACTATAAAGTGAAAAAGGTTGTTTGTCATCTTGAAACGCAATCGTGTGAACCTTTTCTTTTTTTCTTTTCTTCTTCTTTTTTAGGAAAAACGGTCATCATTGTCCGTTGACTGGCAGTTATTTTGGGCACAGTGGAAGGTGTGTATAGGAAGACACCCTTGAAAACCGATTTTTTTTTCATCTAAAAAGTGCTATGAATCCCTAACCAATTTGTGCCCCACAAAGTCGAAAAAGTTCACCAAAGGAAGGTGGACGAGGCTAGGAGGAGGGAGGGGGAGGGGCGTGTCCCGCACCATACCATTTTTTCAATATACTATATATCTAGCCTGATTTTTGAAAAGTTACCTCCCGAAATTTACAGCCATTTGATTTAAAAAAAGGGAAAAGGCAAATTATTTTTTTTATTCACTTTGTTTTATTTTCAGGAACCCATGACTAGTTGCCTATTTCCCCGGTACAAGCCCTTGGAGTCAACCTTTTCCCGAGTAGATTTGTAATTAGAACTGTTCGCAGAGGAGTCTTCTCAAATCGTCCGAGTGAAAAGATAAATCAGAACGACATAGTGACAGTGCTATTGTTCTTCATCAAATAACAGGAAATACAGTGTTGACAGGCCAATCATAAGCTAGTTAAACGTGACTTAAGCGACCCCTCAGAGATTTTTTATCGTTTCTTTCTAGCGCGTAGAACATACTGTGAAAAAATTTTAAACTTTGACTGTGTAAATCTTAATGTGGGCTGCTCGTCTCACAGTAAGAGCCATGAAGGTGATCTGTTGCATGCATATAGATTAATTATTTCCTGCAGTTTATTCACAGAAGGCCCACATAATCTGCTTGTGTAACCGATGTGATTTTATGGTAAATCAGGGGCAGAAGCAAATAATACCTACAATTTTCTATTAGTACTTGAGGACGGCTAAAAATTTCTAGACATGTACAATGTTCGAATTTTCTCTCTCGTCACAATATTCATATTTTGGTATAAAAATTTTCTTTTTTCCCCCATCTTGAATTAAACTACAAAAGATATATTTAGCGCATACTAGTTGGCCTCGTTGATATTCTGAATGGTCATCTGTTGCTCTTTTACATTAATGACATTTTAAAAAGTACTTGTAAAGCTACTCCCACAGAAAGGTTATCAATACAAATTTTTAATTTTCACCAAATGAAACCTTTCTGAAGTGTCAGCGGCCACCATTACCCGCTTACGGAAACGTGAAAATACAGAGTTTGTCTGGGAGTTGAAACAGGGTGTTGTGAAAGCGTCGTAGTAGCTGTCCGCTTACGAGAGTGTCCCTCCAGAGAACTACAACTGAACTGATATTTTTCCCAAAAACAAG